GCTAGTTGGATTTCCTCTTGGGATCCTCTCGACAGGGGCCCAGAAAAGACTTCTTTTGGGGGCATACTGAGGCCCTGTCTTCACATTTACCTGTTTTGTGCTTTGGGTTGGGGTTTTTTGTATTGCTTTTGGTTTTTTACAGTGTGTAGTGATGTCTCTTGTAATCTTTCTAGAGTGAAGCATTATGGGACAAACCCAAAACATCTGAGGATCAGGCTTTTCCTTTATGTACTTTTTTAAAAACACATAACTAACTATCAGTGAAACATCTTGATGTAGCTTTTTCGTCCTGTTTTAAGTCCTGAGACCTAAAGTGGTTCAGAAAGGTCTCTCAGAGCTTGCTTTTTGTACTCTTTGAGTTTGGTTTATGACTCTTGCTTCATATACTGGTGTTGGTATGTTCTAAAACTTGTGTGTAAGAGTGCTGGTGGCCCTTGAAAAGGCAGAGCTCCATCCCCGGGCAGCAGGGTCCTTCGGGCTTTAAACGTGTAGCTTGCCTTGCATGTGTTCAGGTAGATCTTGTTCCAGTAGAGCCCTGTCTCTGAGAGGAACTCTGCAGCTCTTCTTGTGTTGGAATTTTGCTTTGCTGATTATTGTTCTTTCCCACTGCATATGTTCAAACATTACTAATTATTGGTTGAATCTAAGCTTGATGAGAGAGATGATGCCTTCAGAGAAATTTCTAAAGCCTGTTTGTTTGTAGCTTTCTTTATTAGTCCCTTCCATGCAAGATCTGTAAAAGCCGTGTTAATATCTGGTTATATTATTGTGAAACAGCAAAAGCAGGTGGGATCTTCTTTGAAACAGTTTTACCTCCAGCTCCTGCAAACCAAACCCTTTTTTTGCCTTACTTCAAAAACCATTTTGTAAGCAATCGTTATTTCAGCTCAAGTCTGAACATCAGCAGTGCACACAAACGTGAGAAATGGCCTGTCTTCTGAGAGTGGACCCTTCTAAGAATGGACCATTGCTTTTATTTTATTTCAGCATTGTTCATAAATAGTTTTTCTCCTGCGTGGCATACCCTTTTTTAGTTTTTTAGGGTTTTTTTTTAATTGTGGTGCCTTTTTTTCTCCTCTGAATAGTGACTGCTGCAAAAATCAGTTGTGGCCGCCTGTCCTCCTGCCATGTTCAGTTCACCTTTGGTTTCCGTTGTGTCCATCCCACACCCAGGTGCCGGTGCATGTGCGCTCTCTTCTCTTTCCTCTGCTGGCTCAGTATTAGTTGGCCTCTCTGCTGCTCTGTGCTGTTGTTCTCCTCTTTCACCTCGTGATCGCTCTCCACCTTCCTCTGAACTTCTGACATCTCTTTGACGTCCCAGCTAGCTCTTTTCATGCAGACTAGGTGTCAAGAAACTTAAGTCTAAACCAATTTGTCACCCTGTCACTGGAGGACTCCTTCATCCTCTGTCCCACAACACCTCTCTGCTCTCTTCCAGCCCCGGGTGCCTTTCTGCAGTCTCCTCGCCAGCCCCGGGCTCCTCCGCTGCCGCCGTGCTCCGGGTCACGCATCCTCGGGGATGTTAGCCAGGAGGTCTCCGGCTGCAGAGACGGTGCCCTCTGCCTTTCATGGTGTCGGGGTTAGTAAATGCTGCCTGAAATCCCTGATGGGTGTGAGTTTGTTGCCTTTTCCTTCAGAAGCCACGGTGGTGCTGCCTGCAGCACAGAGCAGCTCAGCAGACAGGGTTGCGCTGCCTGCGGGGTAGCAGTTAATGAATCTCCTCTGTTAGCAGGGTTTTCCAGTTGGCAGTTCAGCTCTTTGAGGCAGTAAAGTGAATACAATTAATTTGAACTTACCCCCACCAAACCGTTGCCCTGGCATTCCCAGCTAGCATCGCAGCCTGCTTCTGTTTGTATTTTCGGCATTTCCATTCAGCTGTGCATCTGTAATAGAGAACAAATGCAGTGTTTTTCTGACATCTCGTCTAACCCTTTGCATGATTAATTAGTTCATGAATCATTAATCAGTTAATGAGTAAAGATTAATAGACTAAAGGCTGAATCTCTGTGTGCCAGGGGCATGAGCTTATTTTGTTTGTCTTAGAGCAATTCAAAGATCCTCTGGTATTTTTTGTTTTAAGGACTGTGCATGTAAGGATCTTCAACACTTCCCCTCCAGGGGTCCCCTGTAAAGTATTAGCAGGGCAGAGTCCTTGTCTGCTGCAGGGCTTATGCAGTCATGTATATTGGATATACTTCTAAGACGAATTGAGCATTATGTCCTGCTCTAAAAGGATTTTGTTTAACATTCAGACAATTTGAGATTGAAAACATGAGGAATTTCTTCTGCCTGAACAGACATTCAGTGTAAAGAAAATGGGATGTACAAACACTTAGAAAGTAGACATGTGGGTGAAGAGCCCGACCCGGGCTTGCTTGCAAAGCAAAGGCCGTGATGGCCAAGGGCAGGATTGTCCACACCCCTCTTCAGACAGAAAAAAACGATGTTTGTGTTGGCTGTAAGTGTTGCTCAGTGAGTCAGGGTTTGTGGGATTGGTAAGAGACCAGACTAATACCTGCCCCAGCAGCGCCTGCCCGCCTGGCCGAGGCAGTGACACCCCTGCTGCTCGCTGGCCAGGGGCTGTGGGTGCTGCGGGTGCTGCGGGCCCACTGCTCCTCTCGCCACTGGGCAACTGACCATGTCTATCAAGTTGTTAGTGAGCCGGGTGCTCTGCAGATAAATCTTTGGTTTGGGCTTCTGGTTAACACTTTTCTGTGTCGTGTGAAATAGGAGATTTTATGGGGATGGTGTGGTAGGCAAGAAAGAGCAAAAGGGGTAAAAAGACAAGAAATAAACCAAAATATCACAGTGAGATATTGAGGTGCCTGAGCACGAATCTCCTGCATCCTGAGGCGAATTCCCTAACTCCGAGGCTATTTGGGAGGACAAATGAGCTTTCCACAAAAGTTTCAGGTTCCATAACTGTGTAAGTGACTCGCTGTCATACTCCTGGCTAATCACATCAGTAAGCAGCCTCTCACAGCTTCAGTGGGCCTCGTGAGAAGTGCTGTTAATTCATGTGAAATCAAACTGTGCGTTCATACGATACCTGGTGGTTTGGGTTCATTTTGTACACTGGCAATCTTGAAACAGTACCCTGTGTGCTGGGCAAGCCCTGCAGGGCTGCAGCCCCTGGGTGCCGGGTGCCGTGTCATTCGAGTCGCATATTAAGTGCTCATGTAATATTTAGCTCTCTCTTATAAGAGATATGAAGGACGGGAGACAATTCAGAGTTGCAAAAATAGAAACTAGCATGGATGTGGATAGGCTTCGGTGTCAGCGCCAGTGATGCTGGTTTCGTTCGCAGCAGCCTGTGGGGTGGAGGGTGGCGCTGGCTTTCCCTTACAACTCCAGCTCCTTTTGCAAGGTGGGTCAACAGACGGGTCCGTGGGAGCTGGCTGCTGTGCACGTCGTGTCGCTGGGCTCCGGTGACCCTTTCACTTGGTTCTATTTGGAAGTTGCCAGGGAGCAGCGAGAGCAGCGCTGCTCCCTGTGGGAAAGCAAGAGGACGGGCCCCGGGGCTCGCGAGGCAAGCAGCACACACCCTGGGCTGGTGGCCAGCAACGAGGCCGTAAGCAGTGCCACGGTGATGAGGCAGGTCCAGGGCCAAGCCAGGCAGCTGGTGTGTAGTTCGGGGTTAGGAGCAGGCCTGGGGAAGCCTGGAGAGGTCCACAGTGTCAAAGCAGAGCTGAAGGGGGCACAGGCATGGCCGCAGCTCAGCCGGAGCCCGGCCCTGCTCCGATGGGCTCAGGCAGGGCCTGCAGGCTGAGCTGAAACGTGGCTCCTGGTCCAGGGATGTGGGAGGGCCGGGGCGAGGCCGCTCGGGGCCCCGGAGGCTATTGGTGCCCTGGCAGAAATGGCTGAGGTGGTGGAGCCCCCTCTCCTCACAGGGTTTAATTTTCTTACAGTTGTTACAGTGCCTAGCACAGACAGGACAGAACCTGTTTGGAGGTGTCAATCTGCAGAAACAAAGGGCAGTTTAATCATCAGTACAACACACATTTGGGTGTTGAGTGGTTAGAAATGAAGAGGATGTGCTCATCAGAATAGCCTGCACCTTGTGCCAGAGCAGTTATTAAAATGCCAGGACACCCAGCAAGGTGACTGACTGGCTGCATGTAGATGAGGACCTCCTGGGAATCGTGCAGGTGGTTATTTGTAGGTGCTGGTTGGAGAGGAGTTACACACCAGTGGATGGTTTCTGGATTTTGGTTACAAGCAGGTGGTTGGACCCTGTCTGTTGCAGCAGATAGCTTCAGGTGCAGAAACTGTCTTGGTGATCTAAAGATGCTGGAGGAGATGATAGCCAACTGCAACAGCCCAAGTCACAACAGGAGTTTTTCAAGAGCTAGAATTTAAATAAACTTTATGAGAAGTGGACATCCCAATTTGGGAGATAATGTGCTTGAGGGCTGGGGAGCATGTGCACTTTCTGAAGAGCTTCAGGCAGAGGCAGGTGCTTCAGCTGACTGGTCTTGGGTGCTGAGCCACAAAGGAGTGTTTGGACACCAAGATGTGGGATCTCGCGGTGCGAAATGCTGACGTTCAGCCTGTGGGGAGGGGAGAGGAAGCACGGCTTGGCTTGGGTGAGGCTGGGCAGAGCGGGATGGAGCCACAGCTGCCTGACCCGAACCCTCGGTGGCGCGTGGCTCTGCAGGGGACGGTGTCACGGCCGCTGGGACTCGGGTGTTTGTGGCTCCCTAATTCCTGCATCCCACGCAGGGCGTGCTGCGTCACGAGCACAGGGTGTTCCTTAGTCTGCCGCGTGAGCACGGTGATTACACATAGCAGAACGGGAATGAAGGGCTCGCTGGGAAAATAACTGCCTCATGACTTGGGTCTGTGCTTGAAAACCCAGCCTGTGCGCTACGCTGTCCCAGGGAAACTGGTTTCAAATGTGGGTTTTGGTGACCAGCATCAACAGAGTAAAATTAAGGAGACGTGGTTTCCAGCACTTGCTATGTTAACTCCTTTCCCTAACTTTTCTAAAATGCTGGCAGGGCTCTGGCAGCATGATCTCAGAAAGGGATTCGGAGACCACCTTCGATGAGGATTCCCAGCCCAACGATGAGGTGATGCCGTACAGTGACGATGAAACGGAGGATGAGCTGGACAGCCGGCAGCCTGCCGTGGAACCAGGACAAAACCAAAGCCACAGAGACGCCGAGGAGAGCCAAGAGCCATTGAAAAAAGGTATCATTATGAGAGAAACTGGAGTTGGGTAGCTAATGCTCCTGAATACAGAGGCTGAGCCATGCATGGATCAGTTGGATTTTTGTGCTTATTTGTTAAGTAGGATTTGGAATGGCTTATCTGGATCTGTGGAGCAGTAATTGATGGTAATTCAGTTTAACAAGTGACAAAACGAGAATCAGCTTCATTCCAGTCTGCAACAAGAGTTCTGTGCCACTGCTTGCTGGTAAAACTGATGATCTGCATGGTGACCTTGTCTTAATACGGGCCCTAGACGTGCCCAGCCTGTGGTCTGAGCACTGCTCGCACAGAACTGCAGATCCTTGCCTTCCCCATCATCTGGAAACTTGAACCAGCGTTAGCCACTTCACTGCGTTTAGTCAGTTGGTTTGCATGTATTTCTGCTTTCTCAGTCTTGCACAGATGAGATTTCAGCTTCAATGCTAACGTCGTAGCCTGATGATTTCCTTTTATTTGTAGCAGTTCAGACCCACGGCAGGGTGAGGTGGGTAGGAGGGCAGAGCAGCCCCCCAGTGCTGTCTGTGTGCTGCCGCCCGCGTAGGAGCATGACTGGGAGGAACCTCCCTGGCGTGCTTTAGACACACCTCTTCTTAACCTCTGTCCAAGGAAAGTCCGTAACTCCCCTAAATACCTTTTTTTTTTTTTTCCCAGTGTTGCAATGCGAGTACTTTTTATTTAACCATCACCTGTTTAATATATATAGGTTTCTTCCTGTTTGTGAGGCAATAGGGAACAGTTGATCGCCTCTCATTTTATAACCACCTATTAGGTGTTTTCATTTGATAACCACCTATTACATGTTTAGTTTTGTGGGGTTTTTTACAATGACTGTGATAACATAGAATAAGCAGTTTTCCTAGCCTCTCATCACCCACCATATTTTCCTGGGTCCTCATGACTGTTACTCTCTCCCCCCACTCTCCCCTCTTATTTTGTCCAGATGTTTTATTTCATAGACACAGTACACCAGGAACCACAGGTTTACTTTGTGGCCTAGTATAAGCACAAGAAAAAGAAGGAAAAGAGAGAAACGAAACTAAATGTGGACCTCCTACACTTCTTTTCCAAAGTGTACCCTGTCTTTTCCTTTCTCTGGGTGAATTTGAGACAATCTGAAAGCAGGGAGATGAGTTTTGAATCTGCCCTCCCAGGAGCTCGTAACTCTCACGAGTTCAGTGTAACCACAGATCTCTGCTGTCTATACTGTTAATGTTACCCAAATTATTATCCAAAATACAGACTAGAGCTGTGGATATGGCAAAAGCTTTAAGGAGGTAAGAGATGTTACCATGTGTGCCAGCAGGCCGGTACTTTAATCATAGGCCTCGTAAGGAGTTGATGAACTTCATCAGATTTTTAATTTTTTTTCCCTCTTTAGACCCTTTGGGTTTGTTTGTTTAAATCCTCTTTGTCTGCTTTTTCTGGTTAATAGATAGTTTTCTGGCATAAGTTGCAGAGCTTGTAGGATCTGCTAACTGGTTCAGTAGCTAATTATATTCAGGTAGTGCTACAAAAACATCAGCCTTTGTGCTTCTTATTTTTTCCCCTCAAAAAAGATGGTTTTCCTGTTAGGTTCCTTTAAAGATGGTGAATTACTGATGTAGCTTCCCAAGCATTAGGTGATAATATCACTTTTAAGCAGTTTAAAGTGATTTGGGGTGGTTTCCTACCTGCAGCTTTTATTTAAGACCTAATTTGCCCATTTTCCATCTGGGGTGCCGAGGTTTTCTCAGCACTGCAATGTGGTGAAGAAATGTTCTTGTAGACACGTTTACAATTTTCTTCAGTCCTGTCATTAATAACTTTCTCAATTTATGCTCTTCAGTAATGCTTGTCATCTTTTAAACCAAAGCCCAGTCCTCCAGTGATTGTTTTGTGAATTTTATGCAAGGCAGCTGCAGCTCTGTGACTAGGAGCACTTCTGTGTATGCCCTGACGAGGACGCACGGTGTATCTTCACCATCTGCTGTATGTTTTCATTTATGCAGTCTTAAATATAAGTGTTACGGCAAGATAAATATTTCTCTGCTATCTTCTCAGCTTGCAGCCAGTGGAAATGAAAGTTGTATGGTCGCAGGGAAGATCCCAGATACATCAGAGGAGAACTTGCTTTATGTGTTGGAGGGGAAAAAAAGGGCTTTTTGTCTGCATTTGAGTGTTTAAGCCGGAGTCGGCCTTACCAGAGGTGACTGTGGCCCCTGCAGCAGCCTCCCCGCAGGTCCCCAGCCCGCGGGTCCCCAGCCCACGCCTCTGCCCGTGGGTTTCACTGTCCCTGCTCTGCAGCGTGGGTGCACTTGGGTCACGGAATCCGGGGAAACCGAAGAGAGCACCCATTGAGGATGATTACCCTGCAGTGGAGAAAAGCGGGGGATGCTTGGCTGATGAGTCAGGAAAGCTGAATTTCAAACCCGTGTCTGCCTCATCCTTCCCAGCCAGCAGAGCTGACTCACAGGGGCACCTCGGAGCGCGCAGAGGGACTGCTTGGGTGGGGGTGGCAGGGTGAACAGGGCTGGGGGCGACACAGGCTGGGGGCAGGAAAGGCGTCTGGAGGGTCCTGGAGGGGAAGGGGACACGGACAGTAACCTGACAGCAGGAGGCTTTCAGGCAGTAAGTATGGTCGGCCAAAAGCTATGGATGTCCTAGATGGGCTCTGTAGGACTTAAATTAATGATCAGGACCCTACGGTGGAGGTGGATGGTTTGTTAGCAAGCCCTCTAGAAACCCTTTCCTTAGGGAGGCTGTATGTCAAGTCAGGTTTTAAATGCTAAATACCGAAGGTGACAGGAGGCAAGATTGCTGAGCTGCTTTGCAAGCTGTTTTATCAGTTTGTAGTCCAAAACTGCAGAAATCTGTTGCAGACATCTCTTGTTTACTTTTGTTAAATTTTGCTCCAAAATGCAATTTATATTCCTGAGTTTTCAAGCAGTCAAACAAAACTGATGGCTGAAGAAATGAGCACTTCAGATTTTTACTTTTTTTTTTTTTATGGTTGTAAATGAAAACCATTCCACAGTATGGTCATATGAAATAATTGTTTTCAGAAGTTGAGTGGACCATTTCTAGAGAGACTGAGAAACCCTGTTTTGGGTGCTGAGTGCTTCACAGGTATGATAAAAGCAAACCAAAAGAGAGGAAAGATGGGAATTCAGCATGATTAAATGTTACTCTGAGAGATTTTCAGTTTCTCATAGGACTTCCAAATTATTAATCACCACTTCTTCCTACCTCAGATTATATTTTAATTGTTAATAACAGCCTGGAAACTTATTGAAAACCTTTTTTTTTTTTTTTTCTTTTTTCAGACTATGCATTAAAAAGCAGGGACCGGTCTTGTTTCAGTTGGAAGTACCTTGAAAAGATGGCATTTGAGAGAAAACCTGAAACTGGCAGATGTGTTCCCTCATGTTCATAACAATCAGTTATTGACCCGTTTTGCCTTGTCTCTTCCAGACTGCAGCTGGCAAGTTAAAGCAAATGATGAATGCTTCTACCAACAGCCCCAGTTTAAGAGAACTGTATTTCTGTGCTTCAAAAAAAGCAAATATGCAGTAAGTTTTCTTTATCTCAACTATGTGCTAATAGTACTCGGTAGGGTGAATACTTTCTTAATCTCAGTAAGATCTTTCCAACCACTCCTGATGAGTGTAAAAGCCACAATTAACACTTCCTTAGGATTTCCATCAAAGGTGAAGAACTGCTTTTGGGTTTGTGAATGGAAAATCAAGGTATGGAGAGACTCGTTTAAGATGAGATAGATCCTGAGAAGCCAGGTGTTGTCAGTCCAAATTCCGATTTTATCTGCTCAGCTGCGGCTGTTGCAAACGTCTGCACAGGTGTTGTCTTTCATATCAGAACTCTTAGTGTAGAATTAAGCAATATCCTGATTAAGCTAGACCAGGGCAGTCTTAAAAATAGACATTTGGAAATGTCTACTTGTTTAAACAGTGTCATTCTGAATCCACCTGATTTTGGTACAGGAGACATTTTAATCTCATTTATTAAGACAAAAGGTTGGGGTTTTTTTTTCTTCCCCTGTCCTTAAATTTCCCACTTTTCAGAGCAGTAAAGGTGAGGTGCTGCTATGTGGTGCTGGTTGCAAGTGACAGAGGCTTGGACTGGGGGGTTACATGTGCACTATCTGGCTTCATCGGTGGTACCTGCTGAGGTACCTGCCTTGCAGACGGGGCGGTTGGGGTTATCTCATGCCTGAGGATGAACACTTCACAGTAAAACTGCTGCCCTGGAGCTATTCAAATGGAAATCTGTCGTGTTGGACTAGGTAGGGACTGGCACTCCTGAGAGTTGACCTTTGCTGGATCTGACATTGTCCCTCCTGAATAAGTCTAGTTAAGTCCTTTGTATCAGGAATCATGATTTGTAGTTTGATGCCCGAGACCAATTACATGCCTATTAAAGATGTCATGTATTTAGCAGTTCATGTCGAAAGGCTTTACAGAGAAGACTGCCCGGGAGGAGCAGGGCGCTGAAGCTGAAGCTTCCCTGTGCTCTGGCAGTGCCACCTGCAGGGTGTATTTCCCTGGCAGAGGTGGTGACCTTCCCCGCTGCAGCTGCCCGGTGCCCTGTAGTCCTGGGGGTAGCGAAAGCCTCAGTCCGAAGTATGTTAATTGGAGTATGTTAATTTAGCCAAACAGGCCTTTTTTTTTCCTTGTTATGTTGAGACTGTGACCCATGTTAAATTGTTGAGGAAAGGTCCGACTCTAACAAAGTTCATAAGAAAGATTTCACCAGTAAAATGGTTTAAAAATATGCATTGTACATCTGTAATAGAAGAAGAATCTGCTGTTGTGAATGACGTTTGGTTTTCTTCAACAGGGAAATGCAATTAAGACATACAAGTACAACCCTATCACTTTTTTACCACTGAATCTGTTGGAACAGTTTAAAAGAGCAGCCAACTTCTATTTCCTTGTTCTTCTCATTTTGCAGGTAAGAAAGACAGAGAGGGAATACTAACTGTAAAGTGAATACTGAGCGGAGGAATACTTATGGCACAGTTCAGTGCTGTCCTGCCGGGAAATTGCAGGGCGCTTTGTAAGTGACACATCTGAACTGCTGCAGAAACTGGGCCCATCTTGGCAGAAATCTGGAACAACCCTGCCCTAGCTTTGTAGTAGCTAGGATGAGCTAGTTGAAGGGTTCATGAATTTCATGGGGGAAGGCTGTTTCCTTTGTAAAACATAATGCCTTAAGTTCCACTCACGGATCAGAAGTGCCAACAGAAGAGAGGAGCAGCTACAGCTGTTACAGAAACCGATGCGCAAGTAGGGCAGCACAAGCAAACTCTTCCCCGAGAGCTTTGTTCATCTTCACACCTGCTTTAAAATTCTCTCTCTGGTGTGCTGGTTTTCTTAAGTTATAGTCAGATCACTATGAAGTGTCTCTGACTTGAGCTTGATTGATAATCCTGTACTGAACTGATTTTGTTTGTCTTTTGCAGTCGATTCCCCAAATAACTACCCTGTCATGGTATACAACACTGGTGCCCTTACTCTTGGTGCTGGGGATAACTGCTGTCAAAGACCTAGTGGATGACATTGTAAGAAACATGTTTTGTTAATATGAAAAGCAAAAGAAAACAGTGTAGTTTATTTCTTTCATTGTGATACACAGTAGGGAGTACATTCTCTACTCCTGGTTTTCAGGCTCGTCACAGGATGGACAACGAGGTTAATAATAGGACATGCGAAGTCATCAGGGATGGAAGGTTTGTACTGTTCCCTTCTTAACTTTGTAAGTAATTATTTGTTGCCTTGTTACTAAATTTCATCACAGATCTTAAACTACAGATGATAGAGGAAGTTCAGCTTTATGTTTTCTACTGTCTGTGTGAAAACCTGATTGGAAATGGAAGAGAATTGCCCAAAGGAGTAATTTAAACTTAATTCTGTGGCACTAAATCTGTGCTAAGAGCAACTTCTTTGGAGAGAAAGGCAGAAATTCGTATGTAGCTGAAGATGGAAGAGAAGAGGCAAGTTAACTTCTGAGTTACAGACCCTCAACTAAATTGCAGTTTCCAAAACCAGAAAGCACACCTTACCGAAGTGTAATGTTTTTGTACTAAGGAAAGCTCAGCATTTCAAGATTTATAGAGTGCATAGTGTTCTAGATTAAACAGTAATAATTATTAAACTATCTTGATATTAGGTTCAAAAACACAAAATGGAAAGATATTAAAGTTGGTGATATCATTCGTCTGAAGAAAAACACTTTCGTTCCTGTAAGTGCTTTAGATATACTTGTTTCATGTTTCTACAGAGTTCTGTATGAATCTTGACTTGGATTTATTTGATGCTTATTTATTTGTTTTTCTAGGCTGATATTTTGCTGCTATCCAGCTCAGAACCAAACAGTCTCTGCTATGTAGAGACAGCTGAACTAGATGGGTAAGGGGCGCTATTGAAGGATTTCTTGGATTTAATGTTGGCTTTCTGGTAAAAGAGCAAGATGTGTGTACTTTGGACTCTACTTGTCACTTGTTAAACCACGTCTGGAAAACTGTGTCCAGTTTGTGATTCCCTCAATTAAAGGATCCACTGGAGTGCCACAGAGATGTCTGAAGGGTTAGAGAACATGACGTAGGAAGAAAGGGTGAAGGACTTGGGTTTATCCAGCCCGGAGAGGAGAAGGGTGATTTAATCAGTCTTCCAGTACCTCAAAGGTAGTTACAGAGGAGATGCCCCCTTCACAGGGGGGCACACTGACGGGCGAGAAGCCATGGATACAAGTAGCTCAGGAGCAATTCTGTGTGTATTCAAGAACAGTTGTTTTCATGGTGGCTGATTTTTTACCCTTGGAATAGGTTGCCCAGAGCAGTGGTGGAGTTTCGCTCACTGGAAGCAGTGAGCTTGGCTTGACGGGGCCCTGGGTAACCTCACCCAAGGTCCCGCTTCCAGCAGGAGGTTGGACTGTTGGTACCAGAGCTCTCTTCCAGACTGGACTTTTCTATTATTTTAAACTTCTCTTATTCCCTGTCAGAGTGGGGAAACAAAAGATATTTTTCTGTGGAAGTTTTCCAGAGAAACTGCTTAAATAGTGTAAATCTTACTGTCTCTGTCATGTTGCTTTGTAAATGTTTTAGTTCTTGTTGTCAGGAGAGCTGGTGCTGAATTCCTCTAGAAAAGCCTGTCATGAGATGGGCTTCACCTAATGAGGTGAAATGCTAGTTTTTCAGAATGAGCAGTGTATTCCTCACTCAGCCTTTAGTAATCTTAAAACTGATAATTTATAACATCACACAGAGCGAGGGTCTGTTGTGTTGTGAAAGGTTTGTTCCCTGTTGGAGTTTCTAACAGTACCAGTTACTCAGTACTGCTTTCAGATAACCATTACTTCAAACTGAGTTATTCCATTAGCGAAACAGTGATTGTCAGAAGCTTCCCTGACCCGTGAGCAGAGGTAAAGGGGTAAGATTTCTCTCGTGAAGAGAAGCAGCCAGTGTAAGAGGTAGTCACACGGTGCCTGAATGCTTTGTAGCCACGTGTGCACGTGGCTTTGCTTCCAAGTAGGAGCTTGGTACCTGGGGCAGATTTATTTCCTTAATTTTGTTCAAACTCCTTTCCTGTATCCATGTTGTATTAAATGACCTTTTTATCCTTTCTTCTTAGGGAGACTAACTTAAAATTCAAGATGGCTCTTGAGGTCACACACAGATACCTTCAAGAAGAAAGTGCGATGGCAGAGTTTAACGGTTTGTACTGTTGTGTCCTCACAAGGATTAGGTGTTGCTCAAGTAGTTCATGCTACGAGTAAATAAACTGTGGGTGGGATGGAAGTGTTGCCCGTGGTGCTTGTGATTCTGGAGCTGGTGGCTTCCTCCTTTTGTCCTGAGGCAGCGTAAGCAAGTTGCACAAGGAAATTGTGCTGCTGAGCAGAATATAGCCTGTCTGATGGTGAGGCCTTTGCCATGAAGGAGGGCATGGGCGCCCTTACTACTGTTTGCCTGCCTGTTGTCTTTGGAAAGAAGTCTGCTGTTGGGATTGGATCTGGAAAATATCTTCTATTGTCCTTTTGACATCTGTTGTTACGATCCAGCTTTCTGTGCATGTTGTGGAAACTTGAAGGGCAGGAATCCCTTCTCTTTCTGAGATCTGACACAGAGTTTTATCTCAAGCTGACTTTTTAGCCACCCTAAAATTGCAAATGCTTTTAAAAAAAAAAAAAGACAATACTTAAAACCGAGTGACGTGGAGAAGTAAGCAACTAGGGACTGTTCCTTGTTTCCTGCGGTCTTGGTGCAGAAATGGATTGTTCTGCTACTTCAGTCGGGAAGGCAAAATGCCGCCCTAAGATACCATATTTAAAATAGCACTGAGTGTTTGTACTCCATAAATTTCAGAGAAATTGTTTATCCAAAACACCTGCTTTCTCAAGAAAAACAACCTCATGAAGTCAAACTGCTTCTGTGGTGGGTACAAATCAGTGCACTGTTGGATATTAAACGTCTCCTCCTCCAAATTTTTTAGGTCTGATTGAGTGTGAAGAACCTAACAACCGACTGGATAAGTTTGCAGGAACGTTGTTCTGGAGGAACATGAGTTATTCCCTGGATGCTGATAAGATTTTATTACGTGGATGTAAAATCAGAAATACAGATTTCTGCCACGGAGTGGTCATATTTGCAGGTATTTATGAATTGAAGGTGTGGGATATTTACTGACTAAAAGCATGCCCTGCAGAGTGAAATGATGTCTTTATCTTATAAACAAATGTGTTTTATGTCCCAGTTTTGTAAAATAGTAATACTAGCACTTACAATACTTTGCATATTGTATCTTTCCTGTTTTTTTTTTCTTTATTTTTAGGTGCTGATACAAAAATAATGAAAAATAGTGGAAAGACAAGATTTAAAAGGACAAAAATTGACTCCCTTATGAATTACATGGTTTATACTGTAAGCCTTTGTTTAAAATTCAGATGTTTGAGTTCATTTTTAAGTGAATAGAGTGAATGCAAATTTAGGAAACTTTTTTTTTTTTCCTTGTGGTGTAATAAGTAAGTTTCCACTTTGTTTTGGCCCGATGAGTTGGGGTGAACTAGGATGGAATCCAGAAAGGTGCCTCGCTGTGGTGGAATCTGTGACCCTAAACTGCAGGTGTAGGGCAGCCTTCGCAAGGCAGGAAAGTGCTTCAGGTGTTTCAGGTGCTTCGGCTTGTCTGCAGGTGTGGCCCCAGCCTGGCATGTTTGGCACCCGCGGGGCGTGTGTGCGGGACACCCGCTGGCTCCACTGGGGGCACTCCCTGGGGCAGGGACGGGCGCAGAGGGGCCGGGCTGGGGGCAGGCAGAGGCACCCACCCCTCATGGCTGTGGCCCCTGCTCCGAGCACGTGCGTGTACCCTGTTGGCTGCCTGCTTAAATGAACCCGCAAACACAAAACTGATGCCCGGGGAGCAGACTGAAATCACAATCCGGATTATTTGAAGAGACCCTTTTTGGGGAAAGGCTTGCTCCCCCCCTTCTTACTTACAAATACACGTAATACTTTATTTTCAATGTGGAGATTTGGGATTTGAGGAGGAGCTTCTGAGGTGTGAGCGGCCTCTCTCTGTACCCTGTAGATTTTTGTTGTGCTCATCCTGCTGTCGGCCGGCCTCGCCATCGGACACACGTACTGGGAGCAGCAGATCGGCAACTTGTCTTGGTACCTCTATGATGCAGCAGACTTCAGCCCTCCATATCGTGGCTTCCTCAACTTCTGGGGCTATATCATTGTCCTGAACACCATGGTTCCCATTTCCCTCTATGTGAGGTAGGTAAATACCCCAGCCTTTAATAGCTCAACTGGTAATAAGGTTGAATTGCTTCACTTAGGGATTAATGGTGAATGGACGTAATGTCCCATTGGTGATAATAAATGCAGCTTCACACTGGATGGGAAAGCATGTTAATTCTCTGTCTTACTGAAAAGACATTGGATACACTCACTCTTTTCACTGAGATTTACAAGAAAGTGATCTGTATTCCTTTCATATAAAATCATCACTTGGGGATCTTTGACTCAGAATTTAAAGATATCAAGCTTTCCTTACAGTATGTAGGATAGCTGCTCTATACCTTAAGTAAGGAAAATTCTCCCTAGTTGTCATCTCCGACAAAATTGGAGACTTTTTAAAGTGAGACTGAGAGACTTTAACCTCTCAGGCTAACTCTGCAGTCACGGTGCATGAAGGAATCTACTTGAAAGTAAAATTAAAATAGAAAAATCATATTTTCCAGATTTATTCTCAAAAGAGCGGCTTTACTGCTCCATGCAGTATGAATAATTTTGCCCTTGACAAACCTGTCTGTAACATACTTGAAGTCATCCAGCCTCCTACCCACTCTTCTCCATATTGTATTTAAAATGCCATTCCCAGGCGGGATTTCCGTTTGTTACGGGAGCAGCACCACTGGTGCTTCGGGCTTGGTAAGGCCGTAGAGGCTTTTCTGCTGTTCCTGCGGCGGGTTGGAGCTGAGCTCGTGGTGCAGCATCAGTTGGAGTGGCCTGGACTGGGTGATGGTGCTCTGAGGTGCTGGGAAATGTCACTGCTTTGCCTTGAGCTCCTGGGAGGCTGTCTGAGCCATCCGGGTCCTCCAACAGAGTCACAGTCCCCTGCATCTGATCATATGTCGTTATTTTGAAATACGAGATGGAGCTGGGAGTGAAACATTCATTTTCTTTCCCTCAGCGTTGAAGTGATTCGTCTGGGCCAAAGCTACTTTATCAACTGGGACCTGCAGATGTATTACCCCGAGAAGGACACGCCTGCGAAGGCCAGGACCACCACGCTGAACGAGCAGCTGGGGCAGATCCACTACATCTTCTCCGACAAGACGGGAACGCTGACGCAGAATATCATGACGTTTAAAAAATGTTGCATAAACGGCCAAAGATACGGTAAGTCTGTGCCGTGCTGCTGCGCCCTGTAGCAAAACCCTGTGCTGGGGGCACGGAGGGGAGATGCTGCCAGTCCCTGCTGGCCAGCCTGGACGACCGAGGAGGAATTAATGCTGGTTTGATATCAGGTGCTTACGAGTCCTAGTTTCAGCTGAACTCCCACAGTTTAGCCCTAGCTTTGAGTAAAGCTCTAGTAAAATTGAACTCTTGGTGTTTTCCCACTGTTTTCCCCTTTAAAAAGTGGAAACTGATGGACTTGAGTGGAAATTCCCAGCAGAAAAGTCAGAAATGAGTAATTTATTTGGTAGAAATTTTGGTAGAAACGCTTCAGGGACAAAATTAATCTTGAAGTAAATAAAAAAAAATTATTAAGAACAGCTGTTTTGCATTTTGGTGTCAGTTAATTATAAAAAATAAACATGCAGCATATCAGCTCCAAAAGGATTGTTTGGTCAGTTCACAGAACAAGAACACAGCGTGCTGATGCCATGTGCTTTTAAACATCCTACCTCTGGAGAGAGGTGAGGACTTTCCGACAGTGAGAGCTGTGTTAGGCCAACAGGGATGTTTTATGACAATTCCATTGTGTGCTTTTTTTTCTTATATTTGCCTTGGTGTCACTAGTATACAAAGGTACTGGAGCTGTGAATGAATTTGCTTTTTTTTTTTTTTTTAATCTGAGCTACTCTAGTGTGGTAGATACTCCATAGATCTTTTTTTAATTTGTGAACGAGTTGTAAAAACTTTGTTTTTTCTGTGCTGTGTCTCCTTGCATTGCAGGAGAGTACCGGGATGGAGCAGGGCAGCTTCAGAGCCACCCAGAGGTAGGTGGGTCCAGTGTGGACCTGAAGTCCCTACGGCCCGTAGAACCTTCCCCTGCCAGGGTGTGAAGAGATGCAGGTGGGCACAAAGCAGTTGCACGTGAAATAACTCAGACTGTCTCTTTCCTGAGCAGCAAGTGGATTTCAGCTGGAACGAGTACGCAGATGGAAAGTTCTTGTTCTACGATCACTATCTGATAGAGCAAATAAAGTCTGGAAAGGAGCCAGAAATTCAAAAGTTCTTTTTTCTGCTTGCCATTTGTCACACAGTCATGGTTGACACTTCTGATGGTGAGTATTATTTTTTTGGTGGGTTATTTTTTTTTCCTCATGTAAATAGAAAGAATAATTCAAATCCAGTTGCACAAGGGAGAGTCCCAAAACTAACGCTGATCCCAGAAGTGAGGAGGAGTGTTAGGCTGCTCTTTTAAATTAAACAAAAGCAAGAGCTGATGCTGTTCCCTGTGCTGAATTTATCTGAGCCTTTATGGAAGGAGGACTGTCTTTATGACGGTTGCAGCTGTGACAAACATGCACCTTAAACAACAGATTTAGAGAGGTGGGGGAACAGTTTATAGAGTCTTGTGTTTTCATGTTATGGGTGTTCTCTCTGTTCAAATACATCTTTAAAATCTCAAAAGCATAACAATACAATGACAGTGACACTAGCAGAGTCTCTGGTTCCACCTACATATGTGGAAGCACAAACATCTTTGGAAACTTGTTCTCAGTGTGGAAAAACTAGTGTTTTCAGCACGAGAGTTTCACACTCTTCCTCCTTGACTCACAGCCCCACAGATGTATACACATCATGGATGTCTGTCCTAAGAGTATTGGCAGCAAATAAGCAAAATGAATAACAAAACTGTGAGAGAAACTAAATGCAGAGGTGGATGACTATTGGAGAATTCATGAAAGTGAAAAATAAGGTTGGAAGATTCAGCTAGAACATTGAAGAGTAATCCTGAGGTTCAGGGACGTGTCCTGTTTGGAAAGCACATGTAACCCAAAGGGGGGCATTGCTGGTCCCTCTCCTCTCTGTGCACTGCTCTCGGGTGCTGCTGCGGTGTAGGAGACCCCGCCTCAGGAAGGGGGGGGACTGGCACGTCCAGCTCAAGCACTCATAACAAGGGGGTGAATTGAGTGCCCCTGTAATGCCCAGGCGCATCCTGGCTCTCTCCTCCTCCCACTTTACAGGTCAGCTCAATTACCAAGCAGCTTCCCCGGACGAAGGGGCCCTGGTTACAGCAGCCAGAAACTTTGGCTATGTTTTTCTTTCCCGAACGCAAAACACTATCACTATAAGTGAAATGGGGATTGAAAGAACTTACGACGTCCTCGCTATCTTGGACTTCAACAGCGACAGAAAGCGGATGTCTGTCATTGGTAAGCTGGTCGCCACCAACCGTCATAGCAAAGGTCGCTGGTATTTCGTAGGTGAAGAAGTACCTGCAAGGGGAGTTGAAGTCAAGAATTAGGGCTGTGTGACACGCAGTCCTAGGATAGATTTTAATCCCCAAAACTCTGGATGGCAAAAGAGAGGCTCTGTAATTAGGTGCAAATGTGTCTGCTGGACAGTCCTGGTGTCCAGACGTGGCCTCTGCTGCTGACAATCTCAGGTCTCTGTAGGAGAAGCTTGAAGAAATACTGCAAAGATGATTTATTCCCCTTTTTCCTCAGAAAACAGACAAGTTGTACATTCCTCTAGCTATGGCAATACTGGGATTGCCAGTTGAGGTTTAAATAGCTCTAGTTTTCATTTTATCTTTAAAGGAGTCAGTCTAGAACCAGTTAGAGATCTGTCACTTTTGAAGGCCATAGTTACAGTGCATTGTATCTCTAGCAAATGTCTCTGCCCAGCTCCTGTGGGCAACAGAGATGTTAATCCTATACGAACCATTATCAGCAACCTAATCCTTGGGAGTTTAAATAACCTCTCCTGTCATGAGAGAGAAGAGGAAATGCACTTGTCAACCAAGTTGCTTAACTGAATAATAACAGAGATGATGAAGAAGAAAGATGACCTTGTAGTTTTGGTACTTAACAGCAGTAGACTGAAAAATCTGATCTGAAACTATTCCGTTATTTAAATGTACTCTTAACATTTTGTCCCATCTCTCCTATTTTACTCCACAGTAAAAGAATCAGGTGGAAATATCAGGCTGTATTGTAAAGGGGCTGACACAGTAATCTATGAACGGTTGCACCCAAGGAATCTAAAGAGAGAAGCTACAGAAGAAGCACTAGATGTATGTTTGTATTTTTTATGATAATCTAATTCTATTAATCTCCTTTTCCTAAGATATTAAGACAAATGCAGACCTGTAATTAGTTCTACGAGTCATCCCAAACCTGAGAAGTAATCAAATCAATATAAATATTCATGCATGTTCTTAAAAATGCATTCATTGTCTTTTCATGAGAAGTCAACTTAAATGTTGTTGACATGCTTTTTCTTCATAATTAGAGTATTCCAGACTACTACACTCCCTTCTATTTGTCACCTCTTCAGTCTTTCAGCTCAGACTGCCTTGTCAGCTACAATGGAGTTTTTGGCATTTCTGAAATACCCAGGACTAACTGCACAGTCAGATTTGTTTTATCAGATTTACCAAATGCTTGTGATCTTAACTCTTATGTTTGGATTGCAAACGAAGGGTTTTGTTTTGTGAATGTGGTGGTTTTAATTATTTTACAGATTTTTGCAAATGAAACTCTTAGGACGCTCTGCCTGTGCTACAGGGACATCAGTCATGATGAATTTGAAGCATGGAATAAAAAGTTTGCAGAGGCCAGTGTAGCTACAACTAATCGTGATGAAGCTCTGGACAAAGTATATGAGGAAATAGAAAAAAACTTGATTGTAAGTCAAGCTTTAAATTTTTAGTGTGCTTTTATTCTTATATAAGAAGAAACATCTTTTTGAAAATAAGTTATCCTTGTTTATTATAACATTTTAATTTAGATCTTTTCAGTATTTTATTGGCTTTAGAGCTATGCCAAGTTTTAGAGTTTAATAGAATGCGGGGAAGTGTGGTTTAGGATGTATATATTGCAGTGTGGACACTTCTACATGCAAGAGTTTGTCTTTACTGAATTCTTAGCTTGAGCTGTACCTTGGCTTGAACACATGTCCAGAATAGTTTTAATTCTCTACTGAAAATGAGTCAGTTTTCTGTGTATGTTTATCCTGCTAAAAGCTGTATTTCTGATACCTTCCAGCTGCTTGGTGCGACAGCTATTGAAGACAAACTACAGGATGGAGTTCCAGAAACCATTTCCAGACTTTCAAAAGCAGACATTAAAATCTGGGTGCTTACTGGTGACAAAAAAGGTGGGTTTACTTACAGCCAAAGAGCCAGTAAAAACAGGGTAAGGGCTCAGAGAGAAACTGGGACAAATGCAGACTAGAAATAATGCACGTGCTTCCAGAAAAGCTTAGTATGAAAATCCATTGAAATCAAGACTGGAGGAGTTTCTGCAACATTCAGAGTTTCATCCCAGCTGTTCCCAGTCTAGAGTTACTGGCTGGACTTCTGTGTAAGTTCAGCTCCTCCAACAGACGAGCCTAGATGACTGATGTTGTGGCCATCTCCTGTAGGGAAATACCCAGCTCCTGCTTTTCCCAAAGCAAGTGCAGGACAACTTGCTCGTAACACCAGGCTTGCTTGGCTCTGAGGGCAAGGGCCAAAACTTGTCTTTTTACAGCAAAAATGTACTTTTCAAATAATCACAAGTGCTGCTGACAGAGACAGATTGGCTGTTGTTTTGGTAGTTGCTAGTCTGCAGTCAGGCAACACGTTTTAAGTCGGTTCCACAGATGGCATTCGGTGGGTGAGTGGCTGTCCTTAAGGACTTCAGGTACTGCTGGCTGATCCCAGCAGTTACTCATGGCACAACTTTAAGTAAGTCCTTTCTTACATTTTTTTTAATTGTAGAAACTGCTGAAAATATTGGATTTTCTTGTGAACTCTTAACAGAAGAAACAACAATCTGCTATGGAGAAGATACCAGGCAAGTGAAAAGCCCAAAGGATTTCTTTTGTGGGAATTAAGTGTTCCATTTTTAAAATTAACCCAGCAGTAAGATTGGTTTATCCCACAGTGACTCTTCAGTGACCGAATAGTGTTGCTTGGCAGTTGTTCAGTGGTACTTTGTCTGTTTCTTTGCTTTTTACAGCAATTTTGCAAGACAACCTCTTAATTGTGGGTAAAGGTGGCAACATCCTGTTTGCAGGAGTTTATACATTCTAGGTCAACAGCTGTAGACATTACATTTGTCCTGTAGTTCAGACAAGTCTGGAGCCTCCCTGCAGGCCTCTCCCTAGCCCAAATCTTGAGCAGTTGCCAGGTTTTGCTCTCACTACCTGTCTCTGAACTCACCCCAGCTGGTCTTTCACCCTGTCCCATCCTCCTGGACACGGTACAGAGCTGTGCTATAAAACCAGAGTTGACCCAAGGTATTCACATGTAGTTGTAATGAATTTCTCAAAATGGTTAGACACAAGGAAAAAGACATGGGACCAGGAGAAGAACTAGGGGCTTGTAACAGCATCACAACTATTCCTGACTTGTTTTTCTACTATTTTCCTTATTTGCAAACCAGTGTGATCCTCTTTTCACTGTTGTTCTAGCACTGCTTAGAACATCAATTAATATATGGCCAAAAAAGTCCTTGCAGCATATATTGCATTTCTTTCTTGCAGATTTTCAGGCTGGGGCTGATCTAGCTTAAAACTGATCCTTGATTTTCCATGATAGTATCCACCTCTCTTTCCAGCGCTCTCCTTCAAACCAGGTTGGAAAACCAGAAGAACAGAGCCGGATCAAGTACCCACTCCTCTCTAAAAATGAACGAGCCCTTCTTCCAGGGCAGTAGAGATCGTGCTTTAATCATCACTGGCTCCTGGCTGGTATGTACAAAAGATCTTCTCCCATGTGTTTGAGACTTTGGGGGTGCCACTGAGTCACAGTGTCTTTCACTGAGGACTCTGTTCATTGGTTTTCCTTGGCCGTTGTACTGCCAGCTGAACACATCTGTCTCATATTTTTTGATTTTGGAGGTTGAAAAGAGCACTCAGTAGAATAAGGAATGCCTTGGGCCATTCAAATCACCCTGGTAGCTGCCATCAAAGTAAAGCCAAGCCCCTGCAAAAGCACAGTCTGATCTTCAGAGTATTTATTCTTCGTGGGGACTCCAGTCTAATGGAAAAAAAAAAAAATAAGGAGATGACTGCTGGCATTACAGGATGCACAGCTTCACCTCAGGCCCAGAAGTCCTGCTTGAAATGAGAGATGGGAGTGAAAGGGTAGAAGCAAAAGACAGGTTTCCTTCTCTGTCCTGCCATCCAGTGCTCTGACAGGAGCTTAGAAAGCAGAAAAGAGCTTTTAGCAGAGAGGTGAGTGGCAGTAACTCAGTGACTATTGCACACGCTGTTGGCAGGCTGCTCTTACAGACACCTGTAAAGGAGGAAGTCTGGTGAACAGCTAAGACCAACCGTCTGCCACGTTTCAGTGTTTCAGCCCTCAAGCTTTGTTTTGTGCTAAAAAAATCTACATCAGTGTATGAGGCTTGGGAACAGGCTGGGGACACCTCAGGGTAATCTAGCAGGAGCAGCAGATAAAATTGCAGGTCTCGGTTACCCCCCACGCCAGCTGAAGTGCCCCCCAGCTAACCCCAGTATTTATAGGGCACTTCCATGAGTGCTGGGTGTGGTCAGGCTTCTCTCAGGAGATGGGGAAATAGGACAGAGGGGAGTTTAAATGCCAGAATGTTTTTACATGTGAATTCGTTCCCATCGGAAGAAATATTCCTCTGAACTCTGCAAGAAGTGCTGTGACGCTAAATACAAGCATTTTGCTTTGTTAATCCCATCAGGTACATTCTTTCCCTTGTTTCCGTAGCTCTTTGTTCACTCCTCTGCACGAGCATTTAATGAAAATGCTGTAATTGGGCAGTGGGAGCATAATGAAGTTGTGTGTTGTACAGGCAGTGCCTGAAATAGTGTAGAAGGGAACACAATATATTTTTTGTTACACAGAATGAAATCCTGCTAGAGAAGAAGAAGAAGAAGAAAAAGAAACTTAAACTGAAATTCCCTAGAACAGCAGAAGAGAAGAAAAAGCAATCTGAGAAGAGAAGGAGGGCTGAGGCTTACAAAGAACAGCAGCAGAAGAACTTTGTTGATCTGGCCTGCGAGTGCCGGGCTGTGATCTGCTGCCGAGTGACGCCGAAGCAGAAGGCCATGGTGGTCGACCTTGTGAAGAAATACAAGAAAGCCATTACTCTGGCTATTGGGGACGGTGCCAATGATGTAAACATGATTAAAAGTAAGGCAGCTGTAAAACTTCTCTTGGTAGGAAAGATCTCTTCTGGGCGTTCTTCTGCAGTCTCTTCACTGTTACTCTTTGTTCAGAAGACTCTGCCGCCTGTGTCAGTCCCCACGCTAACATCGCTCGGGTTTTGTTAGCTTCCATGCCCGTGCTTTCCCTTTTTGAGGAAGCCCTTTATGAAATGGTTAGTGGTTTTTGCTGATACATTTTAGTTTTTTCCTGAGAAGGGACTTGAATCACGTCTGTTACTGTGTTGTGGGTTACTGCAGCGTAACAAAGAGCGAAGCAGTAGTTCAGCTGCCCCTTGCTTGGAGGCTCAGCCCTCCCGTTTGCAGCTAGTGCCCTTGGAACTGCTTCCTCTGAAATGCCACCAGGAAAGAAACCGCTGGGGTGTGGTTTGTGTTGCGAGTGTGTTTGTAAACTGCCTGGCCAGTGCATTCAGGGGTTTGCTTGCTCTGTCTCATCACTTAGTTCTCCCTTGGTCAGATTTCCCAGCATCCGTTCCGAGGGAACAAGCACTGAGAGAGAATCCAGGCGATGGTGGGGATGGGAGCAGTAACTACGGGGCAAGGAAGGGCCCGTGTGCTGGCGCGTTGGTCTTTAAGGTGGCCTTTGTGCTGTACAGAAACAAAACGGGGCAGAAGAACCTGAAGCGGAGAATAGGAACCAGTAGATTTGGTCATGTCGTTCCTCTCCTGTGTTCAACACGGTGTGTGGTGTTTGTCTCACTGACTTAGCTGCCCACATTGGAGTTGGAATCAGCGGCCAGGAGGGGATGCAGGCCGTCATGTCAAGCGACTACTCCTTCGGGCAGTTCCGCTACCTGCAACGACTGCTGCTGGTCCACGGACGATGGTCTTACATTAGGATGTGCAAGTTTTTAAGATATTTTTTCTACAAAAACTTTGCTTTCACGCTAGTCCACATCTGGTATTCATTCTTTAATGGCTTTTCTGCCCAGGTAAGAAGGGGTTTGCCTGTGTAATATTAACAAGCAGATCTTTTTTGTCAGTGCAGAATAGCGAAGGCTTAACCTGGGGAGTGATGGGAACCTGCAGTTACCATCAATAACTTCTGCAGGAGAATAGCTGATAACTGTGAAGATAGTTAGTGACAAGCTAAGCAGTTGGTTATGATTTCAAAACACTGAAGTCAGTATCAGGATTGCACAGGGAGGAAGAGGTGGTGATCTGGGAAAAGCTTTCCTAAGCCTAGTACTTGAGATAGTCCTAGGTGAAGTGAGAGGGTGCACGTATGTATCGCTAAGAAACCAAACCCAGGATTGTTTATCTGGCACTGCTGGCTACAGTGGCTTGAGATGTGCTGCTTATAACTGGCAGCGTTTGACATTCCCCGAGTGTTGACAGGGTGCTAAGGGTTCAGCTGCACCTCCACGGGCACAGTCAGGAGGCAGGGAGGTGTCACTGCCGGGGCCAGCAGGGACGTCAGGGCCCTGGTCCCAGACGAGCAGCCCTGCCTGAGGTTAACGCTCTTTGCTGGCATGGAAACTGTGGATGCCTAGGACAGAGAAAAAAAAAAACATGAAAAGAAACCAGGGCTGCCAGACTTGCACGTGAGATGCCCAAGTCTCGTCACAGTCACAAGCACAGCTATAAACAAGAGTGAGGGGCTCGTTTTGATAGTGTTCCAGGTTTGTAAGGGGTGGGACAGCTTCACACAGGCTAAAACCAGTTCCAGCAGAGCTGTGAGCTGAGGTGCTGCTCACACTTTGGGTGGACACTGAGACAGGCAAGAGCACGTGTGGATTTTTCTCAGGAATGGGAAGGAAAAGGTGTAATCAAAAAGAAATCATTAACCACTGCAATTCTTCCTCTTCTTGCAGACAGCCTATGAGGACTGGTTCATCACGCTGTACAACGTGCTGTACTCCAGTCTCCCGGTTCTGCTGGTTGGCTTGCTTGACCAGGTATTCTCCACGTTGTTACCAACAGATGAATCCAGAGGTGTCTAACATCAAGTCTTTAATGACACTGAGACTGGTTGCTTTGGTTTCTGTACAAGGCATTTGGAGGGTTTTGTTTGTTTTTTTGGGCTTTTAAACGTGTATTCCACTTCCCAGTGTGTGAGGTAACGAGAGAGAATAAGCAGAGGATTACTGAAACAGCCAAAGTTAATTGGGTCAGTGGTCTTCAGTGCTAATAGCGTTTGTTAAAATTGTAAGTGCCTGCTATTCCCTGACATCATCCCCACAGCACAGGCGGCTTTGTGAATGGAGGGGCTATTCCTTGCTTACCCTTCTGAGCTGAAGGTGTAGGGACTGAACAATTGATTGTATCTGACAGGAAATCTTGGTGTGCAGCATTTGTTTTAATTCAGCTCACCTACTGATCCGGCAAAGCAATGCTTCTGCCTGCTTTTGTGATAAAAGCTAAGAAACAAATCCAGTACCAAATTAAGATCTCACTGGAGTGTTTGTTGGAGACTTAAAGTCAAGACCTGCAGTGAAAGGGCTCCAACCCAACGCACAGCTGTGAAGAGCTGCACAGTGTGCCCGTTCCTGTCTCAGCAAATCGTGGGCTCAAAGCCCAGAAGCCTGGGAACGGGCTCCGTGGTGGCTCTGGGAGAGGCGAGCTCCACACGGGGCCCTGCCTACGCGCGCCACGACGTGGCGCAGCCCTGCTGCCCACGCTGCTCTTTGAGGAGGAAGAGAAGTCTGCCATGTCCTTTCAACATTGTATAGTTGAGTTTCTTACTTGTCAAAGCTCACACTGAGAACAAGAAATTGCAGAAACTTTTTTTTTTTCTTTTCCCCCTTCACCAAGGATGTGAGCGACAAACTGAGTCTTCGGTTCCCTAGACTGTATGTTTTGGGACAGAAAGATTTACTTTTTAACTACGAGAAATTCTTTTTAAGTTTGCTTCACGGAGCTATAACTTCACTGATAATCTTCTTCATACCATATGGAGCTTACCTGAAAACTATGGGACAAGATGGAGAAGCCCCTTCAGATTATCAGTCATTTGCTGTCACGGCAGCTTCTTCTCTGATATTTGTCGTCAATTTTCAGGCAAGTAAGCTTAGCTTCCTCATCTCTGCTGCTCTGAGAACACTTTCTGCTCATGTTTCTAAATTTGTCCATTAAAACCATGATATGTAAAAAATCTTCCCTTTGTTGCCTTCTCCTCTGTTGAGGCTCTCTCTGGCGTGACTGGATGAGAGATGCCTCGACCAAAATGCTGTCACTCCTCAGAGCACTTGACGGTATTTTGAATTGATAAAACTCATCTGGGGCTTTTGTTTGCTTTCAGATTGGCTTGGATACATCTTACTGGACTTTTGTTAATGCTTTTTCAGTATTTGGGAGTATTGCACTTTACTTTGGTATCACATTTGACTTCCACAGTGCTGGAATCCATGTTCTCTTTCCTTCTGGCTTCCAGTTCACAGGTCAGTCCTTGTCTTTTGTGTTTCTGTGTTCCTGTCTCAGGCAGTTTTCTAACTTGAGCAGAAATTTGGCCAAAATGTCATGTCAGGAGCCTGGTGCCCGTGGAAGGGAATGGTGTTAAATATTAATTCACTTCCAAGGAAGGATTTTGTTTATGTGTGGGGCCAGGTTGCTTTATTGGGAGTATTTATTTTCTTTCAGTTAAAATGACCTGGAACTTAATGTTGCCCAGCAGTAGGAGTCTGCGAATGAAAACAAAGTTAAAATTGGTGGGGCAGCTTAAAGGGAATGTGATGATCTGGCAGGGTATGTGCTTGCCGGTGCTCTAACTGATCAGTGGAAGGTGAAGCCTCAAGGTAATAGAGCCAGGTGCGGTTAGCAGCTCCTTGGGATTTCACTGGAAGTCCAGGGAGATATAAGTTGCAGCCAGTTGGAATTTTTTTTTCTGTGGGAAAACTGTGCTTCCTCATTTTCTTAGTGACAAATCTTTGATACATTGCCTTGGATCTAAATATTCCCCACCCTCAAATAACAAACCCCCTCAGTTTTATGTTCTCATTTTTAAGATGAACCTGATTGAAAAAAAGGTAGTTGCCTCTAATACAAAGTTTTTCTTTGACCTTTAGTAATGTCTTAGACTTCTTTTATAACTTCCTTCTGAATACTTTGTGTTTCAGAAGTTTTATAAAGATATGACTGCTACTTAGTTTGATTGAAAGTTCTGTGAGATTGGGTGTTTGGCTACTAACTACCACTTGCTTTCCAGACCACGTGCACACCAGTGATACTGGGAGGAATTTCCTTGCTCTGCGTGCGCTACAGCAGGCCAGAAGCCACGTGTCTCAGCCAACCGTTTGTCTCACAACCTCCCATAACTCTCAAAAGGGCTCTGACGTGAATATGGAAACGTTGTAGCAGAAGTGCTTTATAAAATTATTTCCCTTTGTGCTTCCTTCATAGTAGAGTCTCTGAAGGGAAGCTTGAGGTTGGGATACACAAAAGAGTACCTGAATGTTAGGTTCTCAGAAAGAAACCGTGGCTTTTAGAATCTTATTTGTGGTTTATAACTAGCTTGCTTGATCATGTTTTAAACTAATTTTTGCTCTTTTTATTCATAGGAACTGCTCCAAATGCTCTGAGACAACCATACCTCTGGCTGACCATGATTTTATCGATTGCCATTTGCTTACTTCCTGTAGTGGCATGGCATTTCTTATCAATGACAATTTGGCCTTCAGAAAGTGATCGGGTGAGCAAAATCTTAGGTTATTTGGGTTAATTTGGCATGTATTTCCTTAGAGGGGTCAGGATTGGTGCTAATGTTAGAGACAAGTAGGCGACTGGGCCCCAGGGAGAGCTGCAGGAGGCCAGGGTTCGGGTCCCGTGGCCAGGGCAGTGGAGCAGTGGCCAGCCCGTGCCGGGGGCAGCTGGTGTGGTGGCACTTTGCCCTCCCGAGCAGAGCGTCGCTGTGCCGTGTTCTTATTTCCCAGTATCTCCCAGCGTGTCTCTGTGGGGTGCAGAGGTACATGCACAAGCTCAGCATGCGGTGTGGTGTGGGTTAATTCTTTGGTTGTCTTGGCTGGGCATTGGCTTTGCAAAACCACAGCGACCCACTCTGCAGGTACTGACGGCCTGACTTCTGGTGTTATGTGGGGGTGTTGGAGTTCCATTGTTGTGTCAGAGTATAGAGGACAGTTTGTGTTTCTTTCTGTTCTGCTTGAGCTGGCAAATAGCATATGGGTATGAAAATAGCTAAAATGGCAGTAGTGTTGTTTCAAAAGTTATTAAGGAAGTGTCAGTGTGAGGGCGCAGGAACAGCTTTCAGTTACGTATCTTCAAGCCACTGCAGTGAAAGGCATTTAAAGATAAATGGAAATAGTGTTAAGTTCAGAATAAACACAGTAAGTTTTCCCGCAGGGGTGATGGGTCACTGCATATATTCTTGTTTCTAACAAAATCAGATTTAAACAAGAGAGCCTCGTGTTAAGCAGTTTAAGGATCTAAGTAAAAGTTACCGGGTTATTCCTGCAGACAGCAGATGCAGACAGGCTGTTCTCCCTTGTACCTCCTAACCGCTCTCTCTCTCTGCCCGTGCGAAGATCCAGCGGAACCGTAAGGAGTACGTGGCAGAAGAGCAGCGGTGGACGCGGAGGCAGAGCACCTTCCGCCGAGGGCTGTCCGGCCGCCGCTCCGCGTACGCCTTCTCCCACCAGCGGGGCTACGCTGACCTCATCGCTTCGGGGCGCAGCCTCCGGAAGAAGCGGGCGCCCCTGGACGCAGTCCTGGGCCACGGCGGGGCCCGCGCCGGCGCTGCTCGGGACACAAGCTGATGCTTGGCCGGCCGGCGGGAAGCCTTTGGTCCCAACGCTTGCACAAAGAAAATGTTTTTTTAAAAACAAACTCAGGATATTTTTCTAACCAAATGGCGTGAGGATACGAAGATTTTTATGTTTTATCACAGAACTTCCTGGTTTTGGACTACTGGAAACATAAAAAGGCCAAGAGTTCTCTCTGGAGCTACTAGTCCTTGTGCAGCTGATTTCTGTTTCATGTGAAAATGAAGGATACGTGTGCTTGGGTATGAAAACCCAGCAGTGTAATATTTATTTTTTAGCTATGCCTGGAATTGCAAACTTTTTTCACATTTTAGTAATATGTTGGTATGAAACTGCAGCTACATTTCGTATTTTGTCTTTGAAAGCAAACTGCTCAGTAGCAGTTCCCCTGTGCACGCCATTTCAGTGAGTTGCACAGTCAGAATGGTGGGTCGGGCAATCTGGCCCCGGGTGTCCTCGCCGAGCTCACACAGCTGGGATTAAGATATACACCTGGTGATAAACTTTAGTCGGTGTCGGGTGTTATTAAGAATTCTAACAGGTAGAGATGTGGCCTCTGTCCATTTCTCTTTCTGCGAGGGCTGACCATGGCTCGCTGCACTCAATCAGCAGACATGTTCTTCACACCTTGGTAGTGGGAGTGATCTGCCATTGTTCCTTCCCTTCCTAGTCCATTCCTTGGTTTCCCCTGGAACAGAGAGATTCGAATTAGTAGTTAACAGAGGTTTATTCTCACTCGCTCTCTAGTTTCTCTGCCTGTCTCTTTTCCAGCTCTAGAATATCACCTCACACAGTGTGTTTATGAATGGAGATATCTGATCTCTGCCCCGGGGCTGGCCAGAGCCAGGTCATTTCAGTTTTGGATATGGTCAGTCACGGGGAACGACAAAACAGGCGCTTTTAGGTGGAGCCTATTTCACCGCTTGGGACTCAGTTCTTAAACCCTGTCCCGTGTGTTTTCATGAGACTCTTTACATTTGCACATACTCTTCACGTGGAGCGGGATGAATGTTTCACTTCTGCCTGACTCCTGGGCTACGGTTGATGACTGAAATGGTTTTACAGGAAAAATCATGATCCACGGCTTCTGTTCAATGGAATGTACGTGTCGGAAACACTGCGAATAAACGTCCTGAACTGCTTCAGCGCCGGCCTGAGGGGCTGTGAGCACATTGAGGCCTCAGCAGGGTAACATCAAGGGTTTTTATGGTCTCCAGTAATTGTAAAGCGTGGGAATCTTACAAACCCTTGTTACAGCTGTTTAATACTTTTTGTTTTAAACCAGGCAGAAGATCTCTTGAGAAGAGAGAAGAACCTGGAGGAAGCCAAGAAGGTTGTTATCAAGAACGATCCTAGTCTTCCAGAGCCAAAATGTGTGAGTAGGATCTGGTGTACTTGCTGCAGGGCCTGTGTACAGCCTGTCTCTGCTTTGTGGCTCTGGCAGCTGTGGAAGGGCCCTGCCTTGTTACTGTTTGCAAATGTAACTTTGTTTTTCTGATTATTTGTGCCTTCTAGTATATAGACTTGGTCTGTCTCATGTGCTTGATGGGCGTCTGGACCTTCTGAGTTCACGTATCAGACTTCTCTGTGTCTGTCTGCCAGTACAGACCATAATTCTGTTTGAAAAAGCTCACTGGCTTGGCTTTGATTGCGGTGGTGGAGAGTGAAGAAGCCTCTGGTTAGAGGCTGCAGTGAGTTACCGAGGCGTGGAAGGCAGTTCCCATCCTGCTGGCCTTGGTGACGGTGCAGGCTGGTACTGCACGTGCTGTGCTGGGTTTTTGGGTAGAGCCTGAGGAGAAGAGTTTTCTAGGTGTGTGTGGAGGAGGTGGCTTTGATTGGAGCCCTGAGCATGCTCAGAGTGCCAGAAGGTGTGTCAGAGCATCCTTCCCAGGGCACCTGGTGGCTGAAGGCAC